GGAGCTGATTCTCTGTCAGGAGACAGGCTTGGTTGCTTTAACCTCACCATTAAAGGTAAATTAACAAAACATCTCTCTCCTGATGTCACTACAAGCAAAGTGGTCTGCAGCCGTCTTGAATAAAGTTTAACTTAATTATTTCCCTGCTGTGTGCTCAGGCCATGCCAAGTGTGTGGAGTACATGAAGAGTTTCAACCTGCCACTGCTAATGCTGGGTGGAGGAGGCTACACCATCCGTAACGTGGCACGCTGCTGGACATACGAGACTGCCGTAGCCCTCGATACCTCCATCCCCAATGGTGAGTACATGCACATGTTGCGCTGAATATAATTAGACAGGTTTATGTATGAAAGCGGATTTCTCTGCGGTAGTAATCAAGTCTCAGGAATAAAAACATTACACAGTGTGTCAGAGATAATTAAATATTGATGACAGTAAAAATAAATTGGTGTCTAGGTCCTTTGATCATTAATCAGCCAAACAACAAAACATCCAAGTAGCGTTAGTTTCCCAGCAGCTAAAAAGAGACAAACAGACATGTTTATTCATTTTAATTAATGATAAAACAATGTAATCTCAACTTGGCAGAACTCCCATACAACGACTACTTTGAGTACTTTGGACCTGACTTCAAGCTGCACATCAGCCCCTCCAACATGACCAATCAGAACACCAACGACTACCTGGAGAAGATCAAGTAAGTGCCTCAAACAGCCATTCACTCGGCCACATCACAGGTACAGGTTTGTATCTCAGGTTGTTTAATGGTCAGTATGTTAAACCTGCATTCCGTCCTTTAGGCAGCGCTTGTTTGAGAACTTGCGTATGCTGCCGCACGCTCCGGGAGTCCAGATGCAGGCCATCCCTGAGGATGCCGTACAGGAGGACAGTGGAGATGAGGAGGAGGATGACCCCAACAAACGCATCTCCAGTAAGAACCTCTCACATTGTGTCAATTTCTTCCGCATTCACACTTGGGGCCAGATGTATAAATAATGTGAAGCCTTTTTCCACACATAAACTTAAAACTTCTATTAACATTTGAGTCATCGTCTCCGTTAGTGATCGTTGAATTTTCTTGCTCTAAAGCACTTTGTAAACTTGGTTTAAACGTGAGTGCTATGAATGAATCATCGATCATTCCTCTGACATTAATAGTAGTGATGATTGAGATTTTACTGCAGTAATGATTTGCAGAAACATGATGAATTAGTAGTACAAACACTACAAATAGCCACAGCTGAGTGTAACGACGGCTGCTCTGGCAGCATTCGAGAACCTGGCAGATGTGGTGACATTGCACTTTCTTTGCTGTAATTCTCATCGACAGTTAGAATGAGTGGTGAAGTGGGTACAAGGATTGATATGCTGACAGCTGCTTAAGGCCGTTTCTACATCCATTTATGGCTAAATATTGATGTGGAAGTGAGACTCATGCATGTGTGTCCAGTTCCACAGTGACTGTGATTCATAACACAGAATGAGGTGTACCTGCAGCTTTATAAATGTGATGAAAAGAAGGCGTATGCATATTTCTGTCTACACAGTTTTACGCATCTGGCCTTAGATCTCTAACATAATGCAGTTAACCTTCTGAAACAGAGGAGTCCCGTGTTTCAGTGTAACCCTTTCCTCTGCTAATGTTCAGTCCGGGCTCATGACAAGAGGATAGCATGTGAGGAGGAGTTCTCTGACTCAGAGGATGAAGGCGAAGGAGGCCGCAGAAACGCCGCCAGCTTCAAGAAAGCCAAGCGAGCCAAAACCGAAGGAGAGAAAGAGGGAGAAGAAAAGGAGAAGAAAGGTGAGGAGGAAACAAAAGGTATCTATCCATTTTTTTCATTTTCATCTCACCTTACTCATGCCATTTTGTAATATAAAGAAAATCTGAGTAGTGCTTATCACGAGTAAACAATTTAAAAAAGTATTTCACCCACAAAATGATCATTTGTACAGTACAGGCCAAAAGTTTGGACACACCTTCTCATTCAATGCGTTTTCTTTATTTTCATGACTATTTACATTGTAGATTCTCACTGAAGGCATCAAAACTATGAATGAACACATGTGGAGTTATGTACTTAACAAAAAAAGGTGAAATAACTGAAAACATGTTTTATATTCTAGTTTCTTCAAAATAGCCACCCTTTGCTCTGATTACTGCTTTGCACACTCTTGGCATTCTCTCCATGAGCTTCAAGAGGTAGTCACCTGAAATGGTTTTCCAACAGTCTTGAAGGAGTTCCCAGAGGTGTTTAGCACTTGTTGGCCCCTTTGCCTTCACTCTGCGGTCCAGCTCACCCCAAACCATCTCGATTGGGTTCAGGTCCGGTGACTGTGGAGGCCAGGTCATCTGCCGCAGCACTCCATCACTCCCCTTCTTGGTCAAATAGCCCTTACACAGCCTGGAGGTGTGTTTGGGGTCATTGTCCTGTTGAAAAATAAATGATCGTCCAACTAAACGCAAACCGGATGGGATGGCATGTCGCTGCAGGATGCTGTGGTAGCCATGCTGGTTCAGTGTGCCTTCAATTTTGAATAAATCCCCAACAGTGTCACCAGCAAAACACCCCCACACCATCACACCTCCTCCTCCATGCTTCACAGTGGGAACCAGGCATGTGGAATCCATCCGTTCACCTTTTCTGCGTCTCACAAAGACACGGCGGTTGGAGCCAAAGATCTCAAATTTGGACTCATCAGACCAAAGCACAGATTTCCACTGGTCTAATGTCCATTCCTTGTGTTTCTTGGCCCAAACAAATCTCTTCTGCTTGTTGCCTCTCCTTAGCAGTGGTTTCCTAGCAGCTATTTGACCATGAAGGCCTGATTCGCGCAGTCTCCTCTTAACAGTTGTTCTAGAGATGGGTCTGCTGCTAGAACTCTGTGTGGCATTCATCTGGTCTCTGATCTGAGCTGCTGTTAACTTGCCATTTCTGAGGCTGGTGACTCGGATGAACTTATCCTCAGAAACAGAGGTGACTCTTGGTCTTCCTTTCCTGGGTCGGTCCTCATGTGTGCCAGTTTCGTTGTAGCGCTTGATGGTTTTTGCGACTCCACTTGGGGACACATTTAAAGTTTTTGCAATTTTCCGGACTGACTGACCTTCATTTCTTAAAGTAATGATGGCCGCTCGTTTTTCTTTAGTTAGCTGATTGGTTCTTGCCATAATATGAATTTTAACAGTTGTCCAATAGGGCTGTCGGCTGTGTATTAACCTGACTTCTGCACAACACAACTGATGGTCCCAACCCCATTGATAAAGCAAGAAATTCCACTAATTAACCCTGATAAGGCACACCTGTGAAGTGGAAACCATTTCAGGTGACTACCTCTTGAAGCTCATGGAGAGAATGCCAAGAGTGTGCAAAGCAGTAATCAGAGCAAAGGGTGGCTATTTTGAAGAAACTAGAATATAAAACATGTTTTCAGTTATTTCACCTTTTTTTGTTAAGTACATAACTCCACATGTGTTCATTCATAGTTTTGATGCCTTCAGTGAGAATCTACAATGTAAATAGTCATGAAAATAAAGAAAACGCATTGAATGAGAAGGTGTGTCCAAACTTTTGGCCTGTACTGTATATCAGTGACTCACCCAAAGTGTTACATTGAATTTGTAAAGAAAACCTCTTGATGAACTGAAGTCATGAGTGGGGGCAAATATGAGGTCATGGAATGTTTAAAAGGTCAAGGTAAATTTTCCTAATTTAACATAGGATATCGTACATGTTAACGGTTGTTTCTGGATTACACAAAGTTTTCTTCACACATATAAGGTAACACTGGGGGAGTAATTGATATAAAACTGGTTATTTTGTGGGTGAAATATTCCATTAAGTCAGATCATCCCTGTACAACACAGAAGCTGTATTATCATGATTGCTGTGAATTTGTTTTTGTTTTCTGTTCCAGAAGTAAAAGAAGAAGACAAGGTGCCAGAGGAAGAGAAAATGGACACTTCAAAGTGAGAAAACACAGCACACAGTTGTTCACCGTGTTGTCCATGAGGTGGCTTGTTGGGAGTGTTAATCATTTCCTTTCTCTGGGCCTTTTTAGGCCAAAAGAAGAGTCCAAAACACCCTGAGGACCTCAACAGCCCATGATGCCAATGCAACTGATTGGTGCGCGTCTTAAAGCAACATTTTTTTGGATAAATCACCTTTCCAGGCTGCTGCTTTGGGAATCAGTGAAGAACTATACCTTTATAATGAGACCCCACTCCCTTAAAAATGGGATGGGGATCCAAACATTTTCTAGGACACCTTTTCAACCTTACCTGTTTATGGACTGAGGTCAAACTGAGTGTATTTGAGTATTGTTTTTGTATGCTTTTTCTTTATTATTAATCTTTTTATTCTATGACACTTGTTTTTCCCTCGTGATGCAACTCTGTAAAAATGGCCTAGTACATGTATGCTTTTATATATCTGATGGATTTAATTTATTTAAATCATAGATATTTTTGGCTACTCTGTTTTGTCTTTCAGTCTCATATTTGTCATGTGTCTCGGAATATGTAGTTGAAGCATGTTTATACAATAGATCCTTTTCTGTAATACATCTGTCTCACTGGTCTTGCCTGGTCACCAAGAGTGGTTAAGAGGGTTCTGTATACCTGAATAATTTTTACATGGCAGTGTAAATAAATTACAGTCCAATATTTTAGGATGTAATTTAGTACGTGTCCTTTACACATTGACATCTCGTCATGTCAGGTGTTTGCTGGGTTAGATTCCATTGAATATTGGACTTTAATAGCCAGAGTGTAGTACTCTGTAAGATGGGAAGCAAGACAAATGCCAGAAATTATTTGTTGTATATATTTGTATTCTGAAAACATAAGTGTTCAAGTCTCATTTTAACCTGACAAGTATGCGTCAACCACAATTTTAATACCAATAAAAATTGCCCTAGAACGTTATGTAGCTTTGTTCTGTTAAGTTTTTCAAAATAAAAGTTCTTAAAATGTTACGTCCAGTCTGAAATAATTGACAATATATTTTAAAAAAAACATTTTAATGTCAAGATACAGGTGACAGTGCTCTGTAATTACAAGACAATACTTGGTACACACACACAGTCTGATCATTCAAAGTCAAACCAATGTCAGTATTTAAGAACTTGTATATTTATATGAAAGGAAATAAAATTACATGTTTTTTTTTCTGACTCAAGTCCCACAGATGTCTTCTTCAGACATTTAATGTGTAACAGACACTCAATGCAACAAGATGGTGTTGCATTTCATCAAGTTAAGCCAAGCGGTTTGCAACCTATCTCATTAGGTTTAGCTGGTTCAGAGCCATTCACTCTGTGCCACAGCATTGTCCAGCAGGTCCTCCTGCTCTGCAGGCTCAGCTCCCGCATCGCTCTCTAGATCTTGTGCTGGAGGAGATGGTGGGATTTCAACAGCTCTCTGGATACGTACCTGGAACATAACATGAAATATAGTTTAATTTATGAGAAGCTGTCCATGACTGCAATCTCAACAGAAAATTAAAAGGTGTGGGATTTTGGGATAACCACACATTATTATCGCAATATTCAACTGAGCCTATACAAAAAGTTAGGAATTAATTTTACATTGACTGTATCAGTTTGTTGTGCGCACCTATGTCCTAATAAAGAGGCACACTTTAGCTAAAAATTTTGAATTTAATTTGAAAAACCTTCACAGGGAACTTATTGGTTTTCGTTCGCATATGGGAATTATAAGTGTGTGACACATCAAAAGCGTTGATTGGCAGCCAGTGTGAGGGATGAACAAAGCACCAGCAAAGACAACCACTCAACAAAAGAGAATTAAAAAAACTGTCACTATGATGTGTGCTTTTTCATTTTACTTCAACCCAACCTTCAACCACAGATTGAACCATGTGATCATGCACTGAGACAGCACGAGATGAGGGACACAGTTTCCACCCTGCTCTGCTCAAGTCTGCCCCATCAGCACGTCTACACCACTGGCTTTTATTTGTCTGTATCAAATTCAGTGTCACATTGATATTTGTGGATATAAAGAAGCCACATCAGCTTACTGTTGAAACTTTGACTTGCTTTAATGATTTTTATTATTGCTGCTGTGCCTTTTATTAAAATGATATTTAATAGTTAAACATTGTGTAACCTCAAACAGTAGCTACAGTGCAGTATGCCATTCTGAATATCAATGTCACAGTGAGGCAGAAAAGTGCTGATTTCTCTTGTAAATAAATACAATTCTCCTTTAGTGAATTAAGGTTACAGTGACGGCCCCTTTTGCTGTATGGATTTTTCACTTCTGTTGTGAAGGTTTTATAAATTCACATTATATTACTCACTATATGTGACACAGTGAGATAAAATAACACTGCAATCTGCACATTCATGCAGGTCTAAGTCTAATGCTGGTGACAGTCAGTGATCTGACAGCAGCTTACCCTCTTGGCCCGGACTGGCCTCTTCCTGCACGGACACAGGTAAAGGAATGAAGTACAGGCAGCAAAGCAGCGGAGAGAGAACACTGTTTCCAACACGGACATTAAGATGAGAGGTATCCACAGAATGATCGTGGTCCCCTGGTTGACAAGAAAAGATGACAGCACATATGTCTGATCAATAAACTGCTTCCTTTCTATTATACAGCAATTCAAGTCAATACAAAACTGCTAACAGATAAATATTTATATGGAACTTACATAGATGCGGGTGGGGTCAAAAGGGCATTCATACGTGATGCTGGAGGAGCCGACATCTTTAGGGAAAGACTTGCAGTGTGTTAGCAGGCCTTGCCCTTTGTTAGCAATGGCTTTCACCATGGACACTGACAAGCTCAGGGTGGAGGCGATCGCCAAGAGACCTGCCACGAAGCTGAAGACCAGCAAGACCCACTGCTGCAAGGACAACACCACACGTTAGTCAGTGACAACACAACACTTGATCTAGTATGGGAAAGACATTTTCCTCATAAAAGATAACATGCTTTTCAGGGTCAAGTAGATGTAAGATAGAAGAGCTGTGCGAACATGGAATACAAATCAGTATCAGTAGTAGGTGGGACCAAATAACTGTTTCGCAAGTCACAAGTAGGTCTCAAGTCTTTACACTCAACTGGAAAGTCACAAGTCACATCCAAAGTCCTAAACTCTGAGTTTCGTGTCATAAACAAATCATTATGTGCTCTTTCACAAATGTAATGCCATTTAACAACAGAGTAATAATTTATCAAATTTACAAAAAATCATGACTTCTTTTTTACATTTACATTTATTTGTAAAAACAAGTTTGTTAAAAACCTTCTTAGCTGTTAAGATTGTGTTAGCTTAGCATTAGCTCACTAACTATGCTAATATTAGCAGTGCACAACTTCAAATGCTGAAAGAAATTTTATGTCGTTGCAACTTCGTCTGATATTTTTGACTCGTACATTTTGCATGTGGCAATTTCTTCTTTTTCCTAGTTTTTGTACGTGAACAAAATTATCTTTGGTATCGTTTTTTCCAACTGCCGCTCAGTAACGTTATTTCTTCATGATTCTCACATGCAACTTGTTTGGATCCTGTCAGGTTGGTTCAAACAAAGTGGATCATCTAGGGAATTGTCGACTTGCTGGGAATGAATAGCGTTAATGATAGTTGATTCAGGAAATAAACTGATCTATGGCACAATCTTTAAAAAACATACTTTTTAATCTTTAAGCTCAGGTGAAGATTTGAAGTATTTTTAAGTTAAAGGGCTTAAATCCAAGTGAAGTCACAAGTTACTGATGTTAAAGTGCAAGTCGAGTTTCAAGCCTTTTTTGATTTTTTCAAGTCTAACGTAATCAAATTTGTGACTCAAGTCTGACTCGTATCCAACTCATGTGACTCTGATAGAAACCACAGTGAGTCCTCATTAGTTTGAACATTTGAATGAACTCCGTATTTGCACGACATGTATGTTACCAATTTAAATAGGTATCATCTTCCATATGTCCACACACACATGCGCTCACTCAAACACAGAGGGCAAGTTCTGACAGGAGCCGGCAAATGACAGATGTGTGTGCTGAATGGAGGAGGGAGAAGCTATTTACCAAGATCCTGTTCCTCTTGTTTTTGGACAGGACAATGGCAGTTATTCCAGAGATAATTCCCTAAGGAAAAATAATGGATCATTCATCACAGATACAGGTGATACAACTACTCAAGTCTGCAGCAGCAAACCACTACTTCCAGTTTTAAACCACCACCCACTGGTTGCTTTTAAGTTCTTTATACACACGGTGAGTCTTTGCACCACTTACCAACAAGCCTGCCACAATAGCAATGACATTAGAGATGGCGTACACCATGGTACGGGCCAAAGTGTGCACGTTGATGTGCCTGAGCACGGCGCCGTGCACCAGCGCTCCAAGAAGAAAGTTGACATGGCCCACCAGCACCAACCCCAGCCCCATTTTCATCAGGGCTTTGTTGTCCTTGAGGTTGGCGCAGCATACTCCTAGAGGAAGTGCAAACATGTTATTTTGAACTCAGTCTTAAATTAGCTTCAAGCATTGTGACCTCTGCCAAAATCTAGAAGATAAACAAATTCTTCACATGTGACTGTAACCCTATAAAAGAGTGTATAAACACCAGCCGTTTGCACATCAGTGTTGTTGACGGAAACCGACACAGTATACAAGATGAAATTACAGTAAGCACAAGTTTGTTACTGATCTAAAATATAGAGCTAGAACTGCAGCACACTCAGAGACTGTGTGAGACTTCTGCAGTGTTGTGGTTTCAACAAAGCGAAAAAGAAAGCAGGCCAGTGGTTAGCACACCATGACAACGCTATAGAATAAGACCACAATCATCCCCGACCCCTGCTGAGAGGGCTGAAGATCTCACCCCCTGCATGCTGCAAACTACTGCAGCTATGTTAACAAGTCAGAGACGGGGTCTGTGTTGCACTGTGTTATTCCTTCCTCAGGGGAAAGGTGAAGCACCCACCCATTACCTCCCACGTAAGCCCCTCCTGAACCAAGCAGGACAAAGGTATGGGTGGGGTGTTCAAACATTCACCACCACAATAACCTGGCCTAAGGTGTCAGGTACAAACACATGTCTCCTATTGGTTTGTCTCATCCAAGCCTTCAGCTGGGTGCTGAGTAAAAAAACCTCAGTGTGTTTTAGGTCATAACATTGTTAGTCTAATGTTTTGCTGCCAGTCAGGTACACATAAGCACATATTGTAACTGTGATGTACAGACCCAAACAAATACACAATGGTTTAATGTTAAAAATATTCATGTAGTGTCAGAGTTACACATAACCTGCATGTCTCATGTCTCATTCTGCTTTTTACTTTCTGATAAGATGATGATAGGCTATACAATGTGGGACCCATACAATCTTTATCTGAACTATCAACAACCTATTATGAATCCTTGGCAAGCCTATGCAACAGCTACCTTCCCAAAAGTTTCTTTTATCTAGGTCTAATTCAAACAACCAAATTAGTTAAACAGGTTTCGTTTGAATAAATTAACAATATAAATAAGATATCACATTAACTTCCGTCATCCAAACACCAGAAGTGTGTCCTAGGTCTTCTCTCCTTTGCGCTCAGTTGACTGCGCAGACCACGCCTAAAAACTTTGGCACGACATACCTATATACTCCGTCACTGCAGGTAAACACGTATGAAAGTCAACTTACCTAAATTCACCATGGTGGATTTTATGTCCCCTCAGCTCACATTAGTGTACAAGTTGTATTAAAGTCATTATTATTTTTGGACACTCCGCTCTGGTAGGTCTGTCTTCCTCCGCTGCCGCTCACCTGCACACACGAAGGCGTCACCTTCCGCCTACCTGTGCGGAGGCTCCGCCCCGCTGCACGTTCACAGTCCAACACAAAGGGAAAAGTTATTTATCTGTTTGACACACATGCAGCTCTCTCCCTATTAGCTAATAGCTAAATTGAAGCAAGCATATTTCAAAAAATTATAACAAGAAGTAGAGTATATTGTAAGAACACCTTTTATTCCTCCTTATTTAGCCCATTTTAATGCTTGGTTAGTAGTTACCTTGCTGATTTAGACTGTTAAACCACTGAATTATATTTTCATAGGCACTGTTAGGGAGTAACTATTTACTGTGAAACTGCAAAAAAATGTGCAGGCCTGAATCAGGGGTCGGCAGCCTTTACTACTGAAAGAGCCCTGTTTAGCCAAAAAAAGACAATAAAATCTGTCTGGAGCCACAAACATATTTGAATAAAGGTAACAGCCTATTAAGTCTAAATTTGTTCATCAACATAAGGAATAGGTGTAAATGAGCAGCCATTAATATGATTTACTACAAGGTGGCTACTCAGCAGCGGCTATTTATAACTATTTAGTACTTTAACTTTGCAGCTTTGGTGGTAAAAGCAAATTAATCTGTCCATACATTATTAAATCCTAAAGCTCTATTCCTTGCTAGAGGGACTCCAGGTTAGTCACCACTACTGAAGTTGGGCAAAATTTAGAGGAAAAGGCACCAGAACGAAGATATATGATGCACATTTTAGTTGATGAAACGTTAAAACATTTTTAATTCAATGTATAGGCTACACAGTTTTACAGTTGTAGAATGCAATAATTACTTTAGGCCTAAAACAATGACAAATGAAAATCTGAATGTTAAAAAACAACTATTCATTTCCAGATAATTTTATGTCAAAGCCACCGGAAGCCACTGGTGAAGTTGTAAAGAGCTGCATGCAGCTCCGGAGCAATAGGTTGCCTGCCACTGGCCTAAATAGAGGCCTAATTATAATCCATCACAGTAACGGAGAAAAAAAAACATGTCAATAAATTACAGTGACTAGTCCAAATATTGCTGATTACAAAGGGGTTACATCTGAATATATATTTTTGGTAAACAGCTTCGATAAAAAGAAGAACTTTGACAGTAATCCGTGCTGAGTTGTTGTGAGATTTACACTGCCTACACTGTTTTTAGAACTTTTCATCTTTATTGCTTAGTTTAAAACATTTGTCAGAAAAGTAATCATATAGTTACATTAGTTTGATTAAGTGATTAGAATAGTTACTTTACTGGGGTGTTGGTGGCTTAGTGGATAGAGCAGGCGCCCCATGTACAAAGCTGTTGCCGCAGGGGCCCGGGTTCGACTAAAATGATCCCTGACTTTTACCACTCTATTTTTGCAACATTAAAGTGATGCATCACTGACTGCAATCTAGTGATGTAATCTGTAATGGGTCATTCTGCATAATGAGTATTCACTCTTGGTACTTTACATTAAGTATATTTTGATGCTTATGCTTTCGTACTTTTACTTCAGTAAGATTTTTTATGTAGGACTTTTACTTGTAATAGAGTATTTTTACACTGCAGCCTACTGCTTCGTTTGTTTACGTCCTTTGAATATGTAAAGGTGACTTGTTTCCTCACACAATTAACAGAATTTTAAGAAAAGAAATGTATTACATGCACAATTTTAGAAATTATAATATCAGCATGACACCACCCAGTGATGTCAGTGTCAACAACTGGAATCGGGCCAGTTTATCTGTCTCAACCAAGGAGGGCAACCAGACGCTGCCCAACTTATTTCTTCCAGCGTGCCGAGATTGGGCCAGCGCTGTGCCAGGTCATTTGTGATAACAGCCCAGTGATGGTAGTGTCAGCAGCCAAAATTAGGTCAGTTTATTTGGCCCATTTATGGGGTGTCATTCATCCTGAGTGTCAGCAGAGTCAGGTAACTGGGTTGGGCCAGTGCTGGGCCAGGTCATTTTGGCTATCTGGGATACTTTTGTGTGGTATCATGCTTGTATACAGTACAGGCCAAAAGTTTGGACACACCTTCTCATTCAATGCGTTTTCTTTATTTTCATGACTATTTACATTGTAGATTCTCACTGAAGGCATCAAAACTATGAATGAACACATGTGGAGTTATGTACTTAACAAAAAAAGGTGAAATAACTGAAAACATGTTTTATATTCTAGTTTCTTCAAAATAGCCACCCTTTGCTCTGATTACTGCTTTGCACACTCTTGGCATTCTCTCCATGAGCTTCAAGAGGTAGTCACCTGAAATGGTTTCCACTTCACAGGTGTGCCTTATCAGGGTTAATTAGTGGAATTTCTTGCTTTATCAATGGGGTTGGGACCATCAGTTGTGTTGTGCAGAAGTCAGGTTAATACACAGCCGACAGCCCTATTGGACAACTGTTAAAATTCATATTATGGCAAGAACCAATCAGCTAACTAAAGAAAAACGAGAGGCCATTATTACTTTAAGAAATGAAGGTCAGTCAGTCCGGAAAATTGCAAAAACTTTAAATGTGTCCCCAAGTGGAGTCGCAAAAACCATCAAGCGCTACAACGAAACTGGCACACATGAGGACCGACCCAGGAAAGGAAGACCAAGAGTCACCTCTGTTTCTGAGGATAAGTTCATCCGAGTCACCAGCCTCAGAAATGGCAAGTTAACAGCAGCTCAGATCAGAGACCAGATGAATGCCACACAGAGTTCTAGCAGCAGACCCATCTCTAGAACAACTGTTAAGAGGAGACTGCGCGAATCAGGCCTTCATGGTCAAATAGCTGCTAGGAAACCACTGCTAAGGAGAGGCAACAAGCAGAAGAGATTTGTTTGGGCCAAGAAACACAAGGAATGGACATTAGACCAGTGGAAATCTGTGCTTTGGTCTGATGAGTCCAAATTTGAGATCTTTGGATCCAACCGCCGTGTCTTTGTGAGACGCAGAAAAGGTGAACGGATGGATTCCACATGCCTGGTTCCCACTGTGAAGCATGGAGGAGGAGGTGTGATGGTGTGGGGGTGTTTTGCTGGTGACACTGTTGGGGATTTATTCAAAATTGAAGGCACACTGAACCAGCATGGCTACCACAGCATCCTGCAGCGACATGCCATCCCATCCGGTTTGCGTTTAGTTGGACGATCATTTATTTTTCAACAGGACAATGACCCCAAACACACCTCCAGGCTGTGTAAGGGCTATTTGACCAAGAAGGAGAGTGATGGAGTGCTGCGGCAGATGACCTGGCCTCCACAGTCACCGGACCTGAACCCAATAGAGATGGTTTGGGGTGAGCTGGACCGCAGAGTGAAGGCAAAGGGGCCAACAAGTGCTAAACACCTCTGGGAACTCCTTCAAGACTGTTGGAAAACCATTTCAGGTGACTACCTCTTGAAGCTCATGGAGAGAATGCCAAGAGTGTGCAAAGCAGTAATCAGAGCAAAGGGTGGCTATTTTGAAGAAACTAGAATATAAAACATGTTTTCAGTTATTTCACCTTTTTTTGTTAAGTACATAACTCCACATGTGTTCATTCATAGTTTTGATGCCTTCAGTGAGAATCTACAATGTAAATAGTCATGAAAATAAAGAAAACGCATTGAATGAGAAGGTGTGTCCAAACTTTTGGCCTGTACTGTATATGTCACAAAACCACACCAAATGTACTACTGACTCAGTCATCAATAGGCACATTATAAGGATTTAAGAGTCATCTATGACTTACATTTTCTTTAAGTGAATATTGCTGCTATTATTGAAGATAGGAAAGACTGCATGATTTACTTCAGACAGAAGTTATCTCAGCTTTAAATATCTGAAAGAGCATGAGCAAAATTCACAGTGTTGTTTTTTTTGTTTGAATTATAGCTGCTAAACACCTCCTGTCTCACAGTCACACACACAAAAGGCATTACTGGCTGGTGTCTCCTCTCAATGTGAGATAATTGCCTGCCTGCCTCGTTAGCTTGATTGCCAGCACCTGACCCTCCTGCCACTGCACCTTATTAATGGCACACCTGGGGTGTGTGGGGAGTAATCAGAGTGGTTGGCCCACTTTGAAGTTTGCAATGGGGACAACAGGGATATTTCTTTGCCTTTTACTTGGGCATTTAATTTCTGCTCAATCAGTGATAAGAAAGCAAGCTCCACCATTTTTTGAGGATGTTCCGGGATATTTTGGCAACTTCAGGCCTTTTCCCAAAATGAGGCCTTTTCACCACATCATGCCTCTTGACAACATGAGGCCTCCTCCATTTGAGAGAAATTTTGACTTCACTCCCTACGACACCATCTTCAGCTCCTGGCGAACCCCAAGCCCTGACTTTCACATGCTCGCTGAGTTACCTCCCATCATGATTGTTCCCAGAATAGAGGTGTTTTGCGATGAATCTAAGCTAACTGTGCTGGTCGATAAGAGATCCAACGGTGACACACTGACTGGAGAGGAGCTACAGTTGGGCGATGGCTGTTACAGTAACAGAGAGCTACCAAAACAATTTGTCTTCACTTACAGTGTGGATGAGTGTGGAACTACTGCAGATGTGGTGAGTTGACAAAATTATTTAGTCATTACTTTGTTCCCACAGTACCACTTGTAAAACTTTCTGATACTCTCACAGATGCAGAACGGCTTGGTGAGGTATACCAACTCTCTGCACTTGGATCTCAAAAAACTTCCCTCCACCTGGTGGCAAACTCCATCCAGCGTGCACATCTCCTGCGTTCCAAAGAGGTGCATCCACTGAGTTAGCAAACATTTGCATGTGGTCACAAATAACCACACTAATGGAGGATATGTCTTTCAGGTCATATGACAACTTATTTGACTCTATGACATTTCCTGAGAATGGCAAGACCTTTAGCATCAAAGCCATGAATCGTGAGTAATAACGAGTCACATATGCTGTGATGCTTGGTGTTTCACTAGTAGTCACAAATGTGTTTTTCCTGCAGCATCCTGGACCAGCACTGCAGACTCTAATGTCTATAAAAGAGGCCAGGTTGTCAACTTCCAGGTTTCTGCCAA